AAAAAAAAAAAAAAGAAACAGTCATGTTCGGTCTTGAGTGAATATCTAAAAAAAAAAGGAAGAAGCATATCTGGTTGAGTTGCGTCAGCGTAGCTAAGTAAAGATTATAAATGTATCTGTAGTGTTTTAATTATTTTAAAACTCCACCATGCACGAGGAGTGACAGAAATGTTTGGGTCTTTATAAGAAGTCTCTTTTCAAAACACTAAAACGGACACAGCATAAAATACTCACAGCTATGCAAGAAGTGCAGAAATAAATGTTTGGTTTCTAAAATTAGTTTTTATTGGTCAGCTTTCATCTGGTCTTTGCGTCACACACTTCTGTTGTTTTGTATTCTTTGTTTCTGTATGTCTTGCTCTTGTCTGTTCTCTTATATGTTGGCTTTTAACCAGAACCTGAGTGCAAAATTTACTTTTACTGCCTGTAAATCCATCTGTTGGAATGACAAAATAATGAATTCTCAGATTCGCAGTCATTTCTGCATATCATATTTTATAGAAGTTCAAATCTAGAAATTGCAGAACTAATTGTTCTGTTTTTGTCCATTGTGGACATTAGTGATTAGCTTAGTTACAGAGCAGAGACTTGTGCGTTCTGTAAACTGTCTATTGTCCATCATAGGTAACAGAAGGGACCGATGGAGAGGCTGTGGAGGCAGTTTCAGAAGCAGCAGCATCGGTGGACGCTGGAGAAACGGAACACGTTCATGAATCTTCCCATGAACTTTCCAAAGAGAGGGAAGAGGATAATGATGATGCTGCTGCTGCTGAAAAAGTTATGGAAAGTGAAGAAGCAGAACTTAAAGAAACTGAGACCGAGGTGATCCACTCTGTTGGTTCTACATCTACATCACAAGCTTTTTCTGCAGAAGAGACAGAGGAGACCGTTACGGTTAATGATGGTGAGCCAGGTAGCACCACAGAGCCCCAAAAAGAGGCTCCTGAGGTGAAATGTGACGAGGGTCTTGAGGTGATATCTGATGAAGGGGTTGAGTCAAAGGCAGAAGATCTTGCAGTGAAGGATGAGAGCCTAGAGGAAAGCCCTGCAGTAGCAGATGTCAGTGAGGATGCATGCATGGACGCAGCTCCTGATCGTGAGGAAGAGAAAGAAATAAAAAACACTGATGAAAACATGGACACAAGCAATGACACTAAGGAGGAAGTCTGCACAGAGCAGGAGTCACCCATCTGCTGTAAACCAAAGGTTTTGACAGCGGGCGATGAACTCGATGAGATGATGGACATCGGTACAGTGGATCAGGTGGAGCAGGAAGCTCAGATGAAAGAGGAGGAACAGAACAGCTTGAAGGATATGGAAAGCAGCCGCTCACCTGATGCTTCTAATACAGGTATAAAGATGCTCTTTGATTGGTAGATTTGTAGATGCAAAATAGAATCTTTATGATCTTGTAGGAAATTATCTAAATAAATAAAACTTTTAATATCAGCAAATATGAGAAAACATCTACCCTGACACTCCTTCATCTGCTAAAGGCCAAAAATGTATTTCCCTAAAAGTGACCACTGCAAACATTTTGTAACTTTTAAATGCAGACAGGCTTCTCTAAAAAGACCCTTTGACCTTTGTTGCCCTGCAACCCTCTGCGAGTCCACGTCAGAGCACACTGAGCTTTAGAAATGCTTTCACTCCTCCTTTAAAGGCAGCATGGCAGAAAGTCTCCCAACAAGGCGTAGTTTTCATCATCCCACTAAATGCTGTGTTTTAAAATTCCCACACAGCCTCAGTGGCGGAGGACAGTAACTGTGTTACGGAGGAAGCTGATGTGAAACCCACAACTTCAGACTTGATGCAGTCCAGCTCGTCTCCATCGTCTGAGGCCACAGGAAGTACAGGTGGGTGATCTTAATGCCAAAATACAAAGAGTACGAAATTAAAATCTAATTATGTGGAAAATCTTGGCAGCAGAATAAACTTTTATATTAATATTTCCATTAAATTTGTAATAGATAAACAGAAAAAAACCCTAGAAGTCCACATACATAAAAAAAATTGTATATAACAAGACTAAAATGGTACAGTTTACATGAAACGACTATCCTGACTGAACCCTTGTGAAATACTTTATTATTAGAGTCCAAAGATCTTTTCAAATTTGACTGAACAAATCCAGTTTTCTTCTTGTTATTGATAGAAGTTAAAATGCAGAGATATACATCAAATAAAGTGATACAGATCTGCTGCTGTGTGCTGACCTGTTATGTTTACACATGCAGTCAAAAGGGAACACGCTAATAAAGGAAATATTCGTCCCTTCTGAAATGGTCAAAGGCAAACATGTATCTCAGCATTTTGGCTCTTAGTTGGTTAAAAAGGTTGTAACTGTGCAACTAAGAAAACACTGAATAAAATTTAACATTGCTGAATATTTTTGAGTTTAACAGCTCACTCCCAACATAAAGCTGCTTTTCGGCTGCTCTGTTATTCACGAGCATGTTTGATTTGGAGGCGTTTTACACCAGGTTCCCTTCCTGAAGCAACCCTGGAGGTATTTTTGTCTCCTCCCAGGGTTAAACGAGGGATCATTGACTGGTTAAATGAATGATTAAACCATGACACCATAGAGCCACTAAAAACACAATCTTTTTTTAAAATATCTTAACACTCAGACCGTGGTTCAGTATGAATTTTGTTTTGTACGACACAGTGACAGTTGTTGTGAATGTTTCCATTCATTCATGTTTTTGTGTTCACTTCCTTTTACACTTGCTCACACGCTGCTCACGTGTTCTTGTAGGAAGAGACAGCTCGTCACCAGCGATGATGTTGAACGGCATGAAAGTCGTCAAGCTTTCTATACCGAGATTAGACGTTGTAAGTAGGAGTAAGATAGAATTTAGGTTTCAGGCTTTTCTTACCTGAAAGTTCATCGAAAACTATTGATTAGGCTGTCGCCATAAGCTTTCCGTCAAAATAAACAGCATATACATGTACTCCTTGTTCTAGGAGAGGCTGCACACTTCAACCCAAAGTGTCAAGTTGTCTCCTTCACCTCCGTTGGTCACTGTGAAGGACGAGCCGGTGGATGAGGAATATGAACAAGCTCTAATGTCCAGTTCCTCTACAGCAAGCGTGAAAGATGAGCCTAATACTGCAAGGGTGAGACACACTCTGCTTAAGGATTTGTGGAGTTATGCTATTAGATTTGGCAAGTGTATGCAGAGCTGTCACGCAACGATCAGGTGTCGAGACAGTTGCAGAAACTTTGGGAGATGGAACAGCAGTTACTGAAATTAAATATTTGATATTCAAAACCCATGTAGTGAACAGAAAGGCTGGAAAGGAAGAGGCACATGATGCCTGTAGTGCAAAGGTGTAAAACAAAGAGTCCAAAGTGGCTGCGAAAGAACACTTGACACGATCTGGGAGTATGATGGAGTGGTCCCAAAAAAAGGTGGAAGTTACGACAACGACAGAGGGAGAACAGGCCTGCATATATGAAGGAGGAGAATTTTTCAGAATCTGAGAATTTGAGATGGTTTGAGCATGTCCATATGACCGGACACCCTGCAGCAGACCCAGAACACTGAGAGTGGTTGTCCTCTGGCTTGCTTGTGATAGTTGGAGGGGGTAACTTGTATGTATGGAGCCAGTCTGTGAGCAGCAATGATACCAAGACAAAAAAAAATAATCTGGGACAAGATCGGGTAGACTCACACATGAACTTGCATATTTCAGGATAATTACTGGTTTCATCAGTTCTTTATTCTGGCTGTTGTATACTTGGCATGACCGACATTGAGTCTAATAGACCAGGGGTGGGGAACTCCAGGCCTCGAGGGCCGGTGTCCTGCAGGTTTTAGATGTGTCCTTGATTCAAATGGCTAAATCATTATGTCTTGAAGTTCTCCAGAGGCCTGGTGATGAACTAGTTATTTGATTCAGGTGTGTTGATTCAGGGTGATATCGAAAACCTGCAGTGCGTTTCCCACTCCTGTAATAAACCAGAGTGCAGAAAGAGGTTCAGACTCACAGATCTGTACCTCAAACTAGACTTCCTGAAATATCCATGTAGTTCCTAAAGCAACATATTTCTACCAGTATTACACCATTACCATAAAAGATGGTTAATTCACTACTTTGCAGCATTAAAACCTTTTCACACCTGAAATCTGGAAGTTGAAGGAGGAAGAGAATGATTCTTTCTTACATGGAGCTAACAGCAGCAGGAAACCAGCTGCAAACATATGATTACTTGTGTAAGTGATAGGTTTGGTGGCAGAACATGACATGTTGTCACATTTGGACTTTGCAGGTTTAAAACTGTTTAGTGTCAGATCTCATTAGCGTGGACATTTTCTTTGTCACGTGGATCTTCTTAGCTGATGTCTAGAAAAGTCCACAGCTGTGGGAAACCCGGGGAACACCAAAGAGAAAATCTGTTGCTGCTAGTATAATATAATATATAACATCATCAGTCAGGATCCTGTCTGAGTCCAGTGTTTTTTCTGAAAATGAAGCCTGAATCCCTGAACCGTTACTGACGTTTTTCTCATGTTGAAAGGACGACCTGAGGATCGGATCCGTGTATTCTGAGAGTTCTGAAACGCAGACGCTGCCCATCGTCAGCCCGCCGTCTTCGCACATGTACTGCGCTCACTGTAAGAAGAACCTGATGAAGGGACAGACGGCTTTCCAGAGGAAGGGCTCTCCAGCGCTCTTCTGCTCCACCACCTGCCTCTCATTGTCTCAGGCCAGGGGAGCCACTAAAATCTGCCACAACTGCCAAAAGTGAGTTTTGCAGATTAGAGCAGGCTTACTACTGTTATTACTACTGTTTGATGGGTGAAGTAATGTCACCCAATGATACGCCTCAAAGTAAACTGCATTGTAGTTTGATTGAATTTGGATTTCTCCTTGGCCTCTTTTCTTCCCGTTCCTTTAGGTTGATAATTCGGCCTCAAGACGTCATCCTGGCTCCGGATCTCAAAGGACTCATGAAAGAGTTCTGTGGCCAGATTTGCCTGACGTCCTTCAACTACAAGAAAACTGTCACCAACTTCAGGAAAACTGCTGTTGCTGTGAAAGCTCTACAGACTGTACCACAGTCACTCTGCAGCATGTGCACCAGATACTGTGTCGTAAGTCGAACAGAACAGGACTGCCGCTAATGATTATTTCAATTATTTAATCTAGAATTATCCAAACCGTGTTAAAAATGTCCTCGTTGTCTCATGCATTATTTACACCATATGAAACTATGCTGATAGTGTGAAAACTCTTCACCTGTGCTGCTCTTTGTCGTCTCTCTGCAGAGCAAACATGAGGTGATACTGAGCGGCGCTGTCCACAAGATGTGCAGTGACGCCTGCTTTAACCGCTTCCGTACTGTAAATAACCTTTCGATGGCGGGCTGCGCCAACTGTGGCTCGTACTGCCACAGCAAACCGCTCATGCTGAAGCTGGAAGAGGGCAGCAAAACCGTGTGCAACCTGGATTGTTTGGGGAAATACAAAGAGGTATGGAAACAGTTCTCTGATTTCTCTTATTGTTTTGACCCTACACATGTCACCTGTGAAACCTTGATGCTGTAGTCTGATAACACGCTTATGCAGAATTCAATGCAGATACATTTATTTTGAATTAATCTTCATTTGAACTCTTGAAAGCCCAGTTGGAGTAACTCAGAAGGCAGAGGGTTGTCTCTGCCTGTGGAGCTACCCTTTGAAAAACCTGCAAACTTTATTGGTGGTGTCCAAACTGTTCATTAAAAGAACAGAGGGGGGCTTCAGATTTAGTCTCTATAGGGAAAAGAGTTAAATTTTTTAGCATTATTTTAAAGTTGCATGCCTGCAGTGAGTGTCAGCACATGTGGGAAACAAAGCCAGTTAACTTTCTCGCCTCCTCTTTCTTACTCTGAGAGTTAAAACGGTTGAGGTTGTTTGCAACATGCCTCATATTTGTTTTTAATTAATTCACAGAAAAGCAAGATAACCAAGATGACCCAGCCGTGCACAATGTGTCGCACCGCCCGCTTTCTGGCAGAAATGGTGGACAGCAAAAACAGTGATGACTCTGTGGATCTTTTCTGCAGCAGCAGCTGTGTGATGGCGTACAAAGTCCAGACTGTTAGTTCTTCAGGTACGCGATCCCAGCTTCTCATTGAAGATTAAACCTTGTACTTGTTTTTGTTAAATGATTGTTTGCGATGGGTTAATTTGGTTTCAGGTGCTCGGATAAACTGTGATAACTGTGGCAAAAACAGCGTACCGTCCTACCACTTGGCCATGTCCGATACCTCCATCAGGAATTTCTGCACTCTCCCGTGTGTCATGGCTTTTCAGGTATTTACTTAAAGTTATTTAAAGACAAACCTAAGAAAGATTTTTGAAAAATTAAAGCTTCTGTTGTTTCTTTTTCTGCGCTTTAGGAAAAATTTAAGCAGTCGCAGAAGCAGGTGAATGTTTTTACGAAGCTGCCCATGGGATCGTCCCAAATTCAGCCCGTTAGTACAACGCCAGTGCAACAGGAGGCAAAAGTGTCCCAGAAAGTGAACTGCTTCCAGTGCTCCCGCGTCATCACTTTTAAACCCGAGCTCATCCAGATTAAGGTAACTAATGGAAACAAATAAATTATGAGTGGAAAGTTTTACATTTAGAGATCTTTAAATGAAAGTCACGGCATTTCGGATGAGGACCTGAAATGCTTTTGGTCCTCACGGGTAAAGTCTGATGAACACAGAAAATAGACCTTGTCCGTTCAGGCTGACATTTCTCACGATTTGTACCTCCTGTGTGTGCGTGCAGGACAAGATGGTTTTTCTGTGCAGCGTGGACTGTTCTCACGAGTTTAAGAAAGCCAACAACGTCACGAGTGTGTGCGAGTACTGTATGATCGAAAAGATCACCAGAGACGTGAAGAGAGTCAACAACAAAGACTGTTACTTCTGCAGCGACGGTAAGGAGTCGTGGAAATCGACTCGTCAGCTGTAAGAACCCGATTCTGCTCTGAAATCTGTATTTATTTTATTTATTTCTGTGTGTCCAGGCTGTAAGCTCCTGTTCAGACACGACTTGAGTAAAAACTGGGGGAAGCACTGTCACTCCTGTGTTTACTGCCACTCCGTTTCAAAGAAGCTGGTGACGGCGCAGTACGGAGGCTCGACGGAGGAGTTCTGCTCGGAGGAGTGCAGGTCCAAGTACACCATGCTGTTCTGCCACGTAAGCAAACCGCAGTAAAGATATTAAAATC